ACTTTGCTAACCACGGGATTGGAGAAATGCTGAAGAAATTTGGATGTTAATCTACTGTGTTTAATGACTGGTAAACTGTATTATATTTGCTAATCTGTATCCTGGTGAAATTTGAGAAAATTCAGTCAGAACTGGCACGTATTGTGTATTTGCTGTGAAACTGGTCACATTTACTGAACTTTTGTTTATCTGTCACATATCCTGTGAAATTTTGACTGATTGAATTTTTGAAAATTAAACATGCCACCAGAGGAACTGAAAACCTTGCTCTTAGAAGCCAAGAAGAAAAGAAGAAACTGTAAAGCTGCTATTACCAGACTAGGGAAAGTACTAGATAGACTGATTAATGAAAAAAGGGGAATAGAAGAAATCCAAGAAATAGTTTTGAAAATAGACACTGCATTTGATAATCTGGTGGAAACACATACTGCATATACTCAAATGATAGATGACGAGGATGAATTTGAAACTGCAGAAATTTGGTTGGATGATGTGCAAAACCAGGTCACAACATTAAAAATGTATTCCAAAGATTATGTTAAACACTTAGATGATGAGTTCCAAGCAAAAACCCAGAATGTTGAAATTCCCCAGAGCCCTGATCAAATAAACCTGTCACCCTCTTCATCCCCTAATGACAATTCATTACCTACTGATATCCAGAGTAATTCTGATGTAAATAATATTGTTGATCCTGACAACCACAGTATAGACGATAATCCGAGTAAATCTGCTGTCAATCCGAGTTCTTCTGCTGATGATAATCCGAATCCAACTACTTCTGCTGTTGTTAATCCGAGAGATTCTGCTGCTGCTAATCTGAGAAATTCTATTGCTGTTAATCCGAGAAATTCTACTGCTGTTAATCCGAGAAATTCTACTGCTGTCAATCCGAATAATTTTGATGCTGATAATCTGAGTACCGAGAATATGAATGGTCTTACTGCTTCAACTAGCCTGAATAGTAATTCTGTCAGTGGAAACCCTACACAATCTACCGATGTTTGTCAATTTAAAATGGAGAAACCGAAGATGCCAAAGTTTAGTGGAGATGTTCGTGAATATTATACTTTTAAGTCAGACTTTTTGCATATGGTTTCATCGAGATATAGTAAACGAGATGCTATAACTTTACTGCGTTCCTGTTTGGTAAATAAGCCATTAGAATTGATAAGTGGTATGGGTTCTGATTATGATGCTGCCTTTGAATATCTAGACTCAATGTATGGAGATCCAAGATTTATTGCTGATTGTATTACCCAAGATTTAACACGTTTCCGTCCACTAAGAGATGGTGAAGATGCACGTTTTTGCGAATTAGTTCATGTTGTCCGAAGAAGTTATAACACACTTAAAGAAATAGGCAGACCTAATGATATGAACAATAATCACATGTA